TATATATATATATATACGTTTAACTAATGAAAGACCGATCTACGAACAGCCGTGTATGTAATAGCGAAGAAACAAAAAGAAAACGTAATAAGAAGAAGAAGAAAAAACACAAAGAAAAATGGGGGATGTTTTGTACATTAGAAGACGATCGTCAAAAAAGTGCGTAATTTTTTTTAGTAAAAAGAAAAAAAATGGAAGATAATGTTATTAATTTTCCTGTATTCTTTTTTTCGTTTTTTATTTGTTTCATTATAAATTCAATTTTTTGTTTTTTTTTTCTTTTTTTTTTTTCTCCTTAGTTTCCGTTCTTTTTATTTTTTACAATTTTTTTTTCGTTTAAGGGGAAACAGAAAAAAAACGGGGAAGATAATATTAATAATAAAAATAAATAAACGAACGAACAACAACACAAATAAAATAGAATAAAGTAAAATAAAATAAAATAACATTACATAAAATAAAGTAAAAAAAAATAAATAATTAATAATTTATTCGTCGACTTCTACGATCCTGTTTGTAAATATTTAAACATCGACACTCGAATGCGCCCTGTTATGAATGAGAATAAAAATATAAAAAAGAAAAAAAATTGAAAGAAAGGAACAAAGAAAGGTAAAGAAAAAATAATTACTAGAAATAATGATAAATAATGATACTGTGAGTACGTGATAATACATTAAAGTAAAAAAAAAAAAAAAAATAAAGCAAGAAGGAGAAAAAGAAAATAAAATTACGAAGCAACACGCTCGAAGTATGTGCTACATTCTCTAGTTAATATTATTGTAAGCTTTAGCTCGATCCTACATACGAAAAATGTATTATATATATTATATGTATCTATTATTAATAACTTTATTATATATATAGATATATATTATTGATTATTCATATTTTTAACAATATTATCTTTATTATTATTATTGCTATTATTATTATTGTCATTATTATCATTATTATTGATATTATTGCTATTGTCGCCATTATTATTATTATTATTATTATTATTATTATTATTATTATTATTATTATTATTATTATTATTGTCAGTTTTCCATTATAATTATTACTATTATTATTAGTTATATTATTATTACGAATTATAATTATTAGTTATTATTATTATTATTAGTTATTATTATTATTATTGCGATTGTCAACTATTATGATTATGGTTGGAATGAGTTATGATCGTCGATCGGGTTAAATTACCCCCAACCAAGACACGAAAACTCCCCTATTAAATTATTAACAATGATGTTTTTTGATGGTTTGAGATAATGCCAAAGTTGTTTAGGTTTATCGTTGCTAATATCGTTGCGATCGAGGTGTCTGTCAAGGATTCAATTAATATGATACAAGATTTGAACTAAAAAAAAAACTAAAAATATTAACAGCCCAAAATTAAAGGCCAGAAATATTAAATAATAAAATGAAAAGAATAATAATAATAATAAAAATTAAAAAAAAATTAAACAAACGTCATGATCGGCACCTCGTTGGCCTCGAACAAATAATTATTCGTTGATCGTAATTTATTATCGATAGTGGCTCGATATGATGGGGAAAAATAATAAATCGTTTTTAACGTAAAACATACGGCCTTCGTAGGATCGATAAATCCCATTATCGATCCAACGAAGATCGTACAAATCGTTTTTTGAGCGAATTCTATTTCAAATTTTAAGGTTTAAACTTCCGCGCGATCTCTTTTTTGTTCCCAACCCCCTCTCTGTTTTCTTCTCGTTTGTTCTCGCATATTTTTTTTTTTACCCAAGACTGAGGTTTTCGCGGGTAAAGAAGGAAAGAAAGAAAAAGAAAAAGAAAGAAAGAAAAGATCGATCGGACGTCAACCCCTATTTCTTATCCCTCGTTACCACCACCCTCTATCATCGATCCAACCCCCCCTTCCTGAACCTTTCAACCTACAAACTCCCTCAATTGATCCAATCACTCTGTAACCCTTCTATTATATTTCTTTTTTTTTTTGGTCTTCCAATATATAGGAAATTTATGGTTGTTTTGGTTCTGTTTCTTTTTTCAAATACACCCCTGCCCCTTCCTCCTTTTCCTCTACTAATCACCCACGAAAGCCCCAAAATGTTTGTTTCCACGAACTCGTTGTAAAAGTTTTTCGAAGAGAACTGTTCCTAATGAAAAAAAAAAAAATTAAATTAAATTAAATTTAAAGTAAAGTAAAGTAAAATAAAATAAAATAAAATAAAATAATATAAATGATATTAATTAAATTAAATAAATGAATAAATAATTGAGAAAACACATTCACACACATACACACATACCACATAGGCAATAAGTTTAAACGACTCTGGAAAATAAGGGGACATAAAGAAAGGATAAAAAAAAAATGAAAGAAATAAATAAACACAAAAGAAGAAAATGAAGAAGAAAAAAGAAGAAGAAGAAAAAGAAGATATTAAAGTATGTATGAGATTGAATGTATGTATGTATGTGTAACGTTAATCGATTATATACATTTTTCTGTGTATGCTTGTCCATAGTGCGTGTGTACGAGTGTGTTTGTCTGTTTGTGTGTGGTACTTTTGCGAAAAAGATAAAAAAAGATGGACAATGATGTGTATATTCCGTGTTATCCAATGATCGAATGATTGCATGTGTGTATATGCTTAAAAATGTGCAAATGTTGTTTCCGTATGTATGTGTGCGTATGTTTTATCTGAATCGACAGAATAATATTAATAATATTAATAATCATAATAATAATAATACTAATAATAATAATAATAATAATAATAATAATAANTAATATTAATAATCATAATAATAATAATACTAATAATAATAATAATAATAATAATAATAATAATAATAATAATATAATAATAATAATAATAATAATAATAATAATAATCTTAATAATAATAATAACAATAATAAAAAAAAAAAGAAAACTCATATCAGATAGTTCTCTCGATGTTAGACGTGTACAATTCTAGATAAAAAATCTCGTTATCTAGTTTAAAAAGTTTGTTAGATTGATTCTGAAGATACGTACATGCCAGGACTACGGTTTATACAATATTGTAAATAATGGCACTGCCCGTAGTGAAGGTCCGAAAAGAGAAAGAGAAAAAGGATGAGAGAGAGAGAGAGAGAAAGAATGATAGAATGATAGAGAAAGAAAGCGTGTGTAAGGGAGAGAGAGAGAGAGAGAGAGAGAGAGAGAGAGAGAGAGAGAGAGAGAGAGTAAGAGAGTAGGAGAGTTAAAGTTGCGAGATAAAATCACTGTCGAATGATTAATCGAGAAAGTAAGAAAAAAGATAACAAAACAAATACAAGGAAAGAGAAAATAAAAATAAATTACGAATTAAATTAAAAAAAAAAAAAAATAAAGTTAAAATAAAGAGTAAAGTAATGAAGGAAAAGATAGAAACAGAAGAGAAAAAATAATTCGATTGGTTTATCTCGCATAATGGGTAACAATGACCATCCTCCTCTCATCGTCTAATACAATTCGAGTACAATTACCAACGAACGAGCATTTTTTCGTTTGATAACAACGGGAAATAATTAAAAAAAAAAAAAAAAAATGAACGAAACTAAGAAAAAATTAAATGAATAAGAAAGAATAACACTTTTTTCGAGTTGACGATGATAATGATGATGATGATGATGATGATGATGATGATGATAATAATGATGATGACGATGATTATGTAAAGTAATAAATAAACAGAAATAATATACAATACAATATTATACTTAATTACGTACATAAATGTGAAAAATTCATTAAGCCGAAACTAACGAGAAAGAGAAAAAGATAAAAAGGAAAAAAAGAATTAGTAAAATTACTTGCGAAAAGAATTTATCTATTTTTTGTTTTGTTTAACGAGAATAAGTTAAAGTTTCTTTTTTATTTACTTGTTTATTTATTGTTTTAATACATAGGAGAGAGGGTTTTATTAACCCTTTCGCTACGGTAGGCCTCGCCGCGAAGTACCTCGTCTAGAACGGAGCGCCGTACCGAAAGTGGGAACATTAAGCGCGCGCAGTCTTTAGCATTCGGAGCCTTTTGTCTCAAAAACGACTTTGTGACATTACTTTTAGAAACAAAATGATTTGTGTTCATAATTATGTGACTA